ACTTTGGGAAATACTATATGAAATAAGGCGTTTGGAGTTTGGAAGTCTTACAGATTGTGGAGCGGCTATTTTTGAATGATCCCTTCTAACTAGATTAAAAAGTGTACATTGTGTTTCTCTTTATTTATATTTTTCTTTTGGTTTTTGAACACCAATGTCACTTGCCGATATTTCTATTTTTTCATTTTTTAGAGATGGTGTCTCGCTATGTTGCCCAGGCTGAAGTGCATTGGCTATTCACGGGCACAATTAAGCACACTATTAAAGCCTTGAACTCCTGGGCTCAAGTGATCCTCTAGCCTCAGCCTCTTGTGTAACAGGGCCTATAAGCACCATTGTGTCTGGCTCTATTGTACTTTTTCTTTTTTTTTGAGAAGGAGTCTCACTCTGTCACCTAGGCTGGAGTGCAGTAGTGTGATCTTGGCTCATTGCAGCCTCTGCCTTCCGGGTTCAAGCAATTCTCCTGCCTCATACTCCCGAGTAGCTGGGATTACAGGCACCTGCCACCACACCCAGCTAATTTTTGTATTTTTAGTAGAAATGAGGTTTCACCCTGTAGGTCAGGCTGTTTTCTAACTCCTGACCTCAAGCGATCCTCCTGCCTTGGCCTCCCAAAGTGCTGGGATTACAGGCGTGAGCCACTGCTCCTGGACAGTTGTACCTTTCCATAATCAAAATTTAAAAGGGCTCCATTTTTCTTGTTAGAATGCTACAGAAATGCAGGAAGTAGCTGTTAATAATGTGAGTGATCATGAAATGAATAGTGATAATCCTCCGGTGGAGAGGGAATTAATTTATAATTCAGTAATAATATGGTGGCTTCTATGCAGAAGCTGCAACTTTGCTTTTTTTTTTTTTTTTTTTTTTTAGTTTTTAATTTTTTGAATAGACACAGGATCACGCTATGTTGCCCAGGCTGGTTTTGAACTCCTAGCCTCAAGCAATCTTCCTGCCTTGCCTCCCAAAGTGCTGGGATTACAGGTGTGAGCCACCATGCCTGGAAACTTTACTTTTGATGAAACTAGACCACAATGAAAAGTAAAGTGTCCGTAGTAAGTCATGGCTTTTTGTTTCATTCTTTAGGCCATTCTGCTTCAGACAAGGTTCAGTCGAAGGTAAGTGATTGACTAAAAAGCAAAAGCCTTAGTGTTACAAAGTAAGACATGATGAAAAATCGTCAGAAATTCGATGAAAAATTGTCAGAAATTCAATGAAAAAATTGATCTCTTAATTTATATAGTGCTTTGTAATTTACAGATATTTGGCAGTTAAATATCTAACTTATAGATGGAGAATTGGAGGTTCAGAGAGGTGAAGTGACTTGTGTAAGTTCACTTGACTGGAAGGAGAACAGCTAGAAAATGAAGCCAGGCCTCCCAAACCCAACTGTTGTGCTTTTTCTGCTGTGTGTAGCAGGCCTGAAAATTTTGGGGGTTTTGCTTTTATATGTCATGTTCTATTTCATTTGCAGGGGGAAGGGGGCAGTGTTGTGCAGTTTGATCCCAAGATGCATTAGATCCATTATTCTATCCTTTTATAATTTACATTTGAAAACTTAGGCTGGCTTAGGCAAATCCATTCCAGAGTAATTAAAATGAATTGACAATTTTTATCTCCTCCTTTGTGGGGTTTTTTCTTTGTTTGTTTGTTTGTTTTTGAGACGGAGTCTTACTCTGTCACCCAGGCTGGAGTACAGTGGTGGCAATCTCGGCTCACTGAAACCTCCACCTCCCGGGTTCAAGTGATTCTTATGTGTCAGGCTTCTGAGTAGCTGGGATTACAAGTGCGAACCACCACACCCAGCTAATTTTTGTATTTTTAGTAGAGGCAAGGCTTCACCATGTTGGCCAGGCTGGTCTTGAACTCCTGACCTCAAGTGATCCACCACGCCTGGCCTCCTTTGTGTTTTTGTGGTATAATTTTCTCATTATGCCTTTCCGAGTGTTGAGTGTTCCATGAAAGGGCCATATATGCAAAGCATCCCCCAAATGCCAAAGGAGCCAAGAAACCAAAGGAGAAGGCAGACAAGTTTAGTTTGTCAGTAAAGGGTATTTTATTAGAGACAGGAGCATGGTCTTGGGCAGCCACAAGACAGGGTAGCTCTCTTCACTGTTACTCCCCAGAGCCACGGCTTACATAGCATAAGGAAAGGGTATACATGTTCCAGCAAGATAATTAAAGGCAACCCTCTTTAATTGTCAAGACAGCAAGAATGCTATATGCATTGTAGCCAGTAATTTGTGTGATAATATCGAGGTTGACATGTTCTTTCACAGAAGACAGTAAATAAAGTAGGAATCAGGAGGCATTCATGAGTCTGGGGCTAATCAGAAGTTAACATGATGGATTAGCATCCAAGATGGAGTCACTTTTGCCTCCACAGGCAGTATAGAGTACAGGCTGCATTTTTAACAAATGAAGTAGAACAGAATTTTAAATTTCTGTTTTATAATTTTTTTGGTTTATATATATATATGTACTGGGTCAAGATGACAAAATGTAAAAATTTTTGAGGATCTTGATCAAAAAAGTTTGAGACATACTGTAATTCCATAGGTAAGGGATTAGCTCAGTTATTAGATTGCTATTCTATTTTTTTTTTTTTTTTCCCTGAGGCAGAGTTTTACTCTGTTGCCCAGGTTGGAGTCCAATGGCATGACCTCAGCTCAACACAGCCTCCACCTCCCAGGTTCAAGCAGCTGTCCTGCCTCAGCCTCCCAAGTAGCTGGGATTACAAGTATGCACCAGCATGCCCGGCTAATTATGTATTTTTAGTAGAGACGGGATTTCTCCATGTTGGTCAGGCTGGTCTCGAACTCCCGACCTCTGGTGATCTGCCCACCTCCGCCTCCCAAAGTGGTGGGATGAGCCACTGCGCCTGGCCTAGAGTACTATTCTTAATATCCCAAATCAGATTTTAATGACACCAACAATCTATCACAAGACAATAAACTTAAATTTTTTGTCATATTTTCATGTTGACAAAATCACAGGGTACCTTAACTTTTTTATCAATACTGTTAGAAATTTACATGTATATAACAGTGGATATTTTAATGTGCTAACAACTTATGGTAGTAAAGTATTCTATAAAAAAATTCTTTGTACTTCTATAAAAAGTTACAATTTTTTAATTGTAACAGAAATTTTTTTATCTCTGTTAAATTAAAAATTACAATTTTTAAATTTCTTACAAAAAGTAAGAAAGTGTAAATCTCTATTTCTCTCCTTAAAGAATGTAATACTTTAACACCAGTAAATTTCTAACACATTAAAAGGCCCATTGCCATATACATAGGAGTGCCCATTCCCTTTCATACTTACGATTGCTACATAATACTATCTTTTAAAAAAATACTCTATTGGGCTGGGCATGGTGGCTCATGCCCATAATCCCAGTAGTTTGGGAGGCTAATGTGGGCAGTTCACTTGAGTTCAGGAGTTTTGAGACCAGCCTGGCCAATATGGTGAAACCCTGTCTCTGCTAAAAATACAAAAATTAGTTGGGCGTGGTGGCACACGCCTATAATCACAGCTACTTGGGAGTCTGAGGCAGGAGAATGGTTTGAACCCGGGAAGCAGAGGTTGCAGTAAGGTGGAGTGAGCCGAAATCATGCCACTACACTCCAGCTTGGGTGATGCAGCAAGACTCTGTCTCAGAAAAAAATATATGTGTGTGTGTGTGTGTGTGTGTGTGTGTATATGTTCTACTAATCTGATAAGTGAAAGTAGTTCAAAAGGCTGATATATTCATATTTTTTCTGTACATAATAGAAGTATATACATACTTTACAAATAATATAGAATTCAATTTCTAGAATCACTCTAGTAATCCTTTGGAATTTGTTTCTTTTGTTATACCCTTGTTTTGTTCCAAATAATTCATTTGTCATTATCTTCTAGTTCTAGGAAGTAAACTCATCTAGCTCTAATGCAGTCTATTGAAAGCAAAATATTTTTCTTTTCTATCTAGCCTCTTTCACTCAGATCAGTCATTAACTTCTATGTTGTTATTTAATGCTTTTCCTGTTTTTAAACAGAACAATGACAAAAGTGAATTTCTGTCAACAGCACCTCGTAGTCTAAGAAAAAGATTAATAGGTACGTATTTCTTTTTACATGACATTTTTATAAAAAGCAACATCTAAACAACAGGCAATGGTAGTTAAGTATATAGGTTCTAGACTTAGACTGCTTGGTGTTTTGAATCTTTGGCTTTTAGCTGCAACGCTTAGCACCATGTCTTTCACATTGTAGTCAGTGTATACTGAAGTCAGCTAAAAGGTCTTTCCAAAGAAATAACATGCCTTTTAAGACAGTTTTGAGACAGTTTGGAAATTATTCTATTGATTTATTTGGAAATTTTATAATGAAATAATATTAAATATTCGTAGTTGTACTGAATGCTAAACAAAATCAAGTGAACAGACATGGCTCCTGCCTTCTAGGAAATTAAAAATTGTTTCAGATTTTTGAATATTTAACTTTGGGGCAAATGACTGGACCTTTATATATCAGGAAAATGTCAATACCTTTCATAATGTTGATCCTTGACAAGAGTAGTATTAGCCAACATTGTTAAATTCAGCCTAACATCAGGGCTTCATACTTCATAGCCCTTTCTTTTCAAGGTACAGATTTCATAGAATTGTTAAAACTGTATTTTTAATCACCATAAAATTGGTAATGCTAAATGATTTGGTATATTAAAGCAGTAAAAGGTCTGTATAGTTGTGATTGTTATTTCATGTCAACTATATCCCATGTCTTGTGTTTTCTCCTTATCCCAAAGATGGGTTGTTTTTTAGAGAGAAGGTGAACTTCCCTCTTCCTTCTTAATCACCACAAAACATATATACCTACATGGAGGAAGCATACATGTAAAGAAGGTAGAGACACTTTCTGGTACCTGCCACCACTTCTAAGCTGTGCATATACCATGAGCGGCAGTCAATGCACATCTGAATCTGCTAAGCTATATGTGCTTACAAAATTAAGCCTTTTTTTTTTTTTTTTTAATATTTACGTTTGTTACATTCTGACTTGGGATAATCCTCTGCAGTATAAAGTTTTTTTACTCATATTTTGGAAGTTAGCTTTTAAAAACAGTTTTATGCCTGTTGATTGTGAAACTGGCTTTATTCTTATTTAATAAGTGTAAAACTAGCTATATTATTTCTGGGGAGTTGTACGGGTGAGGTTGTGGTTTGTCTAAAAAGATGATTCTTGAATCAACTCTGGGATGGTGTATGTGTATGTATTAGTAATAATTATAATCATAAGTACCATTTATTGAGTGCTATATTAGTTAGAATGACATTGTCAATAGGCAGCAACAGAAAATTCTATAATAGTAGTTTAAGCCATAGACATTTAGGTATCTCACATCAAAACAAATATGGAGATGCAAGTTCCATGGTTGATGTGACTCAACAGTGTCATTAAGGACCCAGATTGTTCCTATCTTTTTACTCTGCCACCAGCATTTTTCATCTTTAGGTTTGATACTTCATGTTGCAAAATGGCTTTCATAGCTTTAAACGATGGGTATAAATAGGGGTTTTTCTTACATAATTGATGAAAATCTTTCTCAGAACTGCCAGCTATTTTCCCTCAATTCATTGGTCCAGGGGTCACATAGTCAACCATAGTTGGAGCAGAGGCTGGGAAAGCAGGTACCTAGAAGAAGAAAAATGCAGTTACCATGAATCATCCCCTAGGATGGGGCACATTGCCGTATTTTGTAAAACTGGAGCTCTGTTAGCAAGGAAGAGGGAAGGAGAACGGTGTTAGTATGATTAACAATTTCTATCACAGTTCCTGAGTATCAGGCATTATTAGTGGCTTTATATACATTTCAGTGTAATCTTCCTAATGGTTTATTAAAATTATGTACTGTTAATTTGATAAATAAACCAGTACTGAGAGAATTTATTAATTAGCTCTGGTGAAATCATGAGCAGGTAATGACAAAACCAGAATTCAGACTCACTCACAGAGCCCCCACTCTTTCCTTTACCCCACAATGCCTCTCTTGTCAAACCATGAAATTGTCCAAATTGCTATTTTTCCCCCCACAGTTCCAAGGTCTCATTCTGACAGTGAAAGCGAATATTCTGCTTCCAACTCAGAGGATGATGAAGGGGTTGCACAGGAACATGAAGAGGACACTAATGCAGTCATATTCAGCCAAAAGATTCCAGCTCAGAATAGAGTAGTTTCAGCTCCTGTTTGCAAAGAAACACCTTCTAAGAGAATGAAAAGAGATAAAACAGTAAGTGAAGAGAGAGACTTTAACCTTAAAGAAAAATTGTGTAATATCTCAAAGATAGGCTACCCTAAGAGATCCACATCTCTCAAAATAATATTTTTTCTTCACTTTTCTATATTTTCTCAGCCTTCCACATAAATTCTCACATATATCAGTTTCTACTTCTTGACTTTCTGTTCTGGCCTGTCTACATATTCATGAATTAATACCATAGTATATGCTAAATAGTACATCTTAAAAGTGACATCTCAATTCTGTTGTATAAAAATGAACTTTTTAGGCCAGGCACGGTGGCTCATGCCTGTAATCCCAGCACTTTGGGAGGCCAAGGCGGGTGGATCACCTGAGGTCAGGAGTTCGAGACCAGCCCAGCCAACATGGTGAAACCCCATCTCTACTAAAAACACAAAAATTAGCCAGGTGTGGTAGTGTGTGCCTGTAATCCCAGCTACCTGGGAGGCTGAGGCAGGAGAATTGCTAGAACCCAGGAGGTGGAGGCTGCAGTGAGCCGAGATCATGCCATTACACTCTAGCCTGGGCAACAAGAGTGAAACTCTGTCTCAAAAATAAATAAATAAATAATTTTTAAAATATGCTATAGGATTAGAATGAAAAATAACAAAAAGAAAAAACTGAACTTTTAAGTAAATATTGATTGGACAGTTGGAGGCATGAGTTCTCAGTGTATCTTGTTTTTGTACCATTGTTGATGTATTTAAGTCAGTGTAATGAATGATGTGGCTAGGGACCCATGCTGAGTCATTTGGAAGAATACTGCAGGCACCCTGGTTTTAGAAAAGGCTAATTATCCTGGTGCTGTATCTAAAGGTTCAGAGCAATTGAGGAGCCTACTGCTTAAATAGCTTTCTGTCCCTTCCTTACCACCCTAGAGTTTAGTCCTGCCCAAAATAAGAAGAACAAATAGCGTGAGAAGAAAATTCCACTTGACTGGAATAGTAGGCAAGTTTTTTGGTTTGTTTGTGGTTTTTTTCTTTTATTACCTTGCAGTCGATTTCCTCCTCATTTTCACAGTACTTCAGCTATACTAATATTAAAGAATTTGCTAAGACTATTTGAGGCCAGGCATCATGCCTGTTTCCCAGCACTTGGGGAGAGCAAAGTGGGAGGATTGCTTGAGGTCAGGAGTTTGAAACCAGCCTGGATAACATAAGACCCTGTCTCTGCAAAAAAAAAAAAAAAATCTTTTAAATTAGGTGTAGTGGTGCATGCCTGCCTTCCCATCTACTTGGAAGGCTGAGGTGGGAGGATCCCTTGTGCCCAGGAGGTTGGGGGTACAGTGAGCCATATTTGCACCGCTACACTCCAGCCTGGGTGACAGAGTGAGACCTTCAATAAAGAAAGGAAAAAAAAAAAAAGATTTACTTGAGGAGAAAGAAAGATCTTGATATGTAAAATCATCTCTCTTTTTTTAGTCTAAATGGAAATTACATATTGTAACTTAGGAATCATTTTTAGGAATAGACTACTACTTCATCTAGTCATTTCTTTAACTTATATGATCCTAGTAATTACTCAGTTTTATTATTGAAATTAAATATGCTTGACCTTAACTGGTACTGTTGCTTTAAAAAGACTACCAAGTAAAGAATTTCACATGTCTTATTTTACATTAATATTACTGTCTAATTTTGATATAAGACAGATATCTGAAGCTACTAAGGACTGACTACTCTGTCCACTTTCAGAGTGACTTAGTGGAAGAGTATTTTGAAGCTCACAGCAGTTCAAAAGTTTTAACCTCAGATAGAACGTTGCAGAAGCTAAGGAGAGCTAAACTGGATCAGGTATGTTGCAAGGAATGTTACTTCTAAATTTTTTTTTTACTCTGTCCTGAAAAATATGCTACATAAGCAACACATTTGAAAAGCATACACAAGTAGAATTATTGTCCTGATCAAATGAAACACAAGTTAATGTGATTATTACTTCTTTTGTTATACAAATAGTAAATAGGCTGGGCACACGTGGCTCACACCTGTAATCTCAGCACCTTGGGAGGCCAAGGGAGGAGGATTACGTGAACACAGGAGTTCGAGACCAGCCTGGGCAACATAGGGAGACCTCGTTGTTACTAAAATTTAAATAAATAAATAAATAATTTACTGGATTGGACTGTAATTATGCATTTTCCCCCTCTTATTTGTTTATTATTTCTTCAGGATCTATGATAATCATCAGGGTCATAGTCCTTGATATCCATTTGCCATTAATCTCTGTTATTCATTTAACCTATATGTATTTACTAAACCTCACACTGGTCATAAAACAGTGACTGCAACCTGACTTTCTCTCAGTTACAAACTTTGCAAAAAGTAGAGGATATTCTACTTGAGGATATTATGGAAAACCTGCCCAGTGTGGTAACAAGATTACCATGTACTATGGTTCCAGTAGCTCATTTTACAAAAAAAAAAAAAAAAATACCATACAGTTATATTTGCTGGGGTTTTACTTCTCTAAGAGAGGAGACAGAACCATCTGAGTGAGAAAGTCTTTGCCAGTAGTAATTTCAATTGATAATCTAAGTCCTGGCTCATTGGTATTGAGACTTGGATCAGAGAATATAAGCAACGTGGGAGAAGGGCACATGAGTCTAGGCTCACAATAGGACTTCATCATACTTAGAGGCAAAAAGATCTCTAGGGGGATGAAAGAAACACCTGTCAGTGAGGGAGAGGAAAGCCTTTCATTGATCATAAACATAGCATAGCTAATCAATACAGTCTTCAGTAGCATGTGACAATAAGCATTTATTTTTCATGTCTGCAAGTCAGTCAGAGGTTGGCTGATCTAGGATTTGCTCCATGTTTCTCTTCCTCATTGGACCAGCAGGCTAGCTGAGGCATGTTATCCTCATGACAATGGCAGAGGCATAAGAGAAAAAGTGGGAAAACAGTCTGTTAAAGCCCAGGCTCAAAACTAGATTGCCAGTTCTGCCTCATTCTAGTACAGCTGGATATTGGGGTCAAAAGTGCAGTTTTCCATGAATATTAATTAAAGTTTGAAATGAGGCCGGGCACGGAGGCTCACGTCTATAATACCAGCACTTTGGGAGGCCAAGGCGGGAGGATCACGAGGTCAGGAGTTTGAGACCAGCCTGCCCAACATGGCGAAACCCCATCTCTACTAAAACTACAAAAATTAGCCAGGCATGGTGGCATGTACCTGTAATCCCAGCTACTCAGGAGGCTGAGGCAGGAGAATCACTTGAACCTGGGAGGTGGAGGTTGCAGTGAGCAATCTCCTGGAGTGCAGTGGCTGGGTGACAGAGCAAGACTCTGTCTCAAAAAAAAAAGTTTGAAATGAAAGTACATACATGAGATAACATTCTAGAGTTCACACTCAAGTGTGAATATGATCAGATAATCCAGTGTAAATGACTGCTGGAAAAGATACTAGTGCTTTCTCTGCTTTTTCAGGGCTCTGAACTGAGAAGAGATAAGAGAGTTTTTTGTTTTGTTTTGTTTTTTTAGCAACCTAGTTAACAATTTTACTTAAAGGTAGTCCTGTTTTGCTTTAACTGTGACTAAATAAACACTGTACAAGCCAGAGTACCTGAAATATTTATCGCAACTCTAATCTTCAGTATTTAAAGAATATTTTACTTGAAAGGTGGTGGAATCATGAAAACATGGTAGTGCCAGAGTGAAGACCCATGTGTAGCTTTTTGCTGGAGTTTTCATTTCAAAAAATGATCTCTAATTCATCAGCATGACTTTCCAAGTTTGGGGTACAGGGCAATGCACTTTCCTCAGTTTATTTATGTTATTGTTTTTAAAAATTTGCAATACTTATCAAAGATAAAGGATTTGTTAGAAACAGCTTTTGGAAGAGGAGCAGTGATACAGATTTATTTTACTAATGATAATGGTAAGTAAATTATAAAGAACCTTTAATGTTTTCTGAGAATTAAATTAAAACCTTATTCTTGGAGTTTATAATCATTTAAATGGTTCTGGACAAAACTTACCAAATTCTTTGCTGTTATTACTAAAAAAAATGTTAACAGTTTTAAGAAAACAAATTATTTTTTAAGAATTGTGTTTATCAGTTGATACACTCATTGCCAAACCAGATTAAAGTAATATCCCAATTGGCTTCTTCTAAGCTCAACTTCAAAGGAAATTGTTTGGATTGATCTGCTATCTGTGGTTTGAGAATGACTTTTTTCCCCTCCTCCTTTTTTTTAAAGCAAACATTGCGTAACTTATTGAGCAAGGTTTCCCCTTCCTTTTCTGCCGAACTTAAACAACTAAATCAACAGTATGAAAAATTATTTCATAAATGGATGCTGCAATTACAGTAAGTATTATCATTACAAACCCTTGTAAAATAAAGAATAATACATATTTACATGAATATGTTAAAGTAAGTTAACATTTTTCTT